ATATTATTCCTAATTATTCGATCTCCAGGGAAAGGGTTTTATGCGAATGATTCTGAATTTGGACTTCGTCTGAAATGTTTTTTTGTTGAATCCATTGCTTCATCGGTGCGTCTTCATCATCGGATTTCATTTTTTTTTTTTTTATGCGTTTTTATTAATCCGAGTTTCGTGAGTGTACGATGATGATGAGCTGCTTTGTTTACTGGAGATTTGTCTGCTATGTGAAAGTTATTTATTGATAAGATTGATTTGATCATAAGATTTTTCCGTGCAATCTCTGCTTCATCTTGTTGCGTTCATGATCCGTTTGATGCTTTTTTTTTGTGAACTTGCGTGTTGTTGTGGTCGTAGATCATGATGATATTGTTTGATCATTTTGTATTTTGCTCAATACTTATAAGTGTTTTTTTTTGCTTGAAACTTATCAATTTTGGTTTATGAATTTACTGCTGCTTAATCATATGATTATGTATCTTGTTGGAATGTCTGGTATTGTTTGATCTCTTCTTCTTGCTTGAAAAAAACTTCAAATACTTGTTAAAAATAACCTTCAAGGTCATTTTTTGATCTGTCATATATTGTTTGATATGTAATTGATTTGCTTTCTCTCCATCTTATTCATTTCAGGAAAGGGTAACTGCAATGAACTCTGTATCCGTCGTCACCTTCAGATTCCATGTAGCTTCAGAATGCTTTGACATTAACCACTGTCGAATAAATGTTAAGCGTTTCGTTTCTTGTATGCGGGTCAGTAGGCAAGCAATGCACGACTTGTGGATGCCTGTGACTGATACATAGTTTTTAGATTTAAATTTCTTCTGCTAGAGATAGAGGTAGTCAGTAATTGTTATTGCAAGGATTTGGTAGTTTGTAGGGAGTTTCCAAATAATTAGGGATTTGGAAACTGACATTTTCAGTAGTTCCAAGAAGGTAATCTCAGGTGACCATAACCTTTTTACTTGATAGAGTCCTTTGAGTATTGGTAATGGGTCTGCCACAGACAGCTTCGAATGAACAATCCCGCGAAGCTTTGTCTTCTCCGAGTTGTAGAATTTCGCAAAGTCTGCCTGTGTATGCCACGTCCCATGATTCAGATGGCCTCAACAGTGGAAGTGAGGGAGGCATCTGCTCTTCCATTGGAGAATTTGATAGAAAAACATCATTGGAGCCTCTGGAGTTCACAGATGATTCGTCTAGATTCTATGGCTCTCGTGTTGTTACCTCATCAAGTGCTCATGGATCGACTAGCTATGCTGCTGCGGATAAGGTTAGTTCGAGTCTAACTGGAGCTAGAAGGATAGTTGGTTTTGCATCAAGCGAAACTAGCTCACTGGAAAACAAACACACGAATTTCGGTGTTGATCACTCTCTGTCATCCACTGGTGGAGTTACAGGAGTAGATATTGGTGGTGCATTAGTCAGGAAACGAGTACTCTCCCCTCTGAATACTCTCTTCCCTGTAAAATTCAGAGGTGACCTGCTTGATATCAGCTGTAGTAACCACCAGCAAATGACTTATTCTCGTCTTTGTAATGGATTTGGCAATTCTGTCGCAAGAGATCACAAAAAGGCTAATGTCCCTGGTACGTTACATCTCTCTACCACTCCTACGACCCCAACCACATCTACTAGCTGGGAATGGAAGAATGCCTCAAACTGTGGTCGACTTTCGTCCATGGTCTTCACTGATGGTCCTTTGCTTGACTCTGTAGACTTCCGCCAACCCACAAAAGGCGAGGTTTGCTTATATTCACCAGTATATGAAACGTCTGGCATACCCAATAAGCCTTTACCTTGTGATAAGGATATATCTGTCTCTCCGCCGCTTTCTCTCTCACCACTTGGTCCGAAATTTTCTGAGAGAATAAAAGCTATAAGAAGTGGCCAAAGTGGGAAGATAGTGGAAGAGTTAAGGAATATCAGTGAAGAAGCAGAACTAAGGATTGACCGTAGATTGTTTGATGATGCATGTGCTCTTAGAAGAGCGTTTTCAATGGAGAGAGGTATTGAATCAGCTCCTGTATCTCCATGTAAAAAGTTCACTAGAAGCTTGAGTGGACGCCCTACTCAAAGGTCATTGGTTGGTTCTTTCGAGGAGTCACTCTTAACAGGAAGATTGTCATGCGGGCCAACAAATCAGGTTTTCATCTTTAACATTGATGCTTTGATGACTCGCTTTAGAGGTCCTAAGAAATTTACTTCTTTAACTGGTGTAGGTCCCTTTTTTTGAAAGAAAAATGTGCAGCTTTAGAAATTGAGGACTGGTAAAACTTGGATCTAGCAGACGACTGTGATTGTTTTAATGTATAGTATATGCAACAACCAAATGGAAAAAGTCAGCTATCACCATCCGGTTTATGCAAATGCTATAAACCCAGAACTATGCTCCTTGAGTAAAAAAAAAGTTTTTATGTTTTTGTTAATATAGACTCTTGACTTCATCTGTTTGCTTTTTCGTACAGAAGATTGATGGTTTTCTCGCCGTTCTTAGTATTGCTGGGGGAAACGTATCTCCAAAATCGCAGAAGCTTCCATTCTCAGTAACCAGCGTTGGTGATGATTGCTTATTGCTATACTATGCCTCCATAGATCTCGCTGGAGGATCTAAATTGAACAAATTCTGGAGCCAGAAAATGAAAACAAGTCAAATAAACTCTGATGCTCAGAGTTCCAATAGCCAACTGCGGATTCCCATGAAGGGTCGGATTCAACTGGTATCTCCTTTCTCTTTTTCTTTGCTCTGTTTAACTTAAAGATAGCATTTGTCTTAACCGCAATTTTCTCTTGTTAATGATGTTGAAAGGCCCATTAGTGGTTTAACAGCTGCAACTGTCCCTGAATTCGAAATAACCAAGTGCTTATGCGGTATTTTCAGCAGTTACTGATCATAATTTGATAGCCAGAAGACATTTTTTTCAGATCACCACCTAAACAATTGTAATTGTAATCAAATTGAAAAATTTCAGTGTTAAATATGTCTAATAGGAGAGCGCAAATGTCAAGATCATAGGATAAGTTAAACTGTTTCTCAGTGGAGAGTTTCGATGTTCACTCATGATATAAACTGCGCTTGTGCAGGTTCTTAGTAACCCTGAGAAAACACCTCTTCACACCTTCCTCTGTAACTATGACTTAACTGATATGCCGGCCGGTACAAAGGTAACATATAACATAACACCTTTCTCTCCTAAGGTTTCAAAGCAAACTCTCCTTTTTTTTAAGGTCTTCTAAAGAAAATGATTTAAATAATTAGGGATTTGGTATAATGTATTTGCTATAGCTAGAAGAGTGATAGTGTAGCTGAAGCAAAACATGATGAAGTTGCTTTGGCATGTCCACTCGTTGCTTCTCCTTTCATACTCACCGTTGCATGTTCTGTTGTATAAAAAAATTGAAGTTTTGAACATTAGTCTTTTTTTTGTTTTTGTTTGGGTAATGTGCAGACGTTCTTGCGCCAAAAGGTTACTCTGGGATCATCTAATCAAACTAGTGAAGCAACGCAAGAGAAGACGAGAAAAGCCAAAAGCTTGGAGAAAGAAAACTCGAAACATGGGAACAAAAAAGAATGCGAAGGATCTGATTTAGTAGATGAGTTACATGAAAGTGGAAAAAGCTGTTTAAAGTCTTCTAAAGAATGTAACGGTGGTTCTGGTGCCCTACGGTACGCTCTTCATCTGAGATTTATTTGTCCATTACCAAAGAAAGCTTCGAAGAAAGCTGATGAAACCGAAACTACGGGGCAAATGAAAAGCTTAGATTCAGATGGGAAGAGGAGATTCTATCTGTACAACGACTTGAGAGTCGTGTTTCCTCAACGTCACACAGATTCTGATGAAGGAAAGGTACGTAAAGAGATTTGCGTTTTGAGTCTTGACCAGCGTTTTGCAATGAGTCAAATCATTATTAATTTATTATTCTGTGTGTGTGTGTTGCAGTTAAATGTGGAGTACCATTACCCAGAAAACCCAAGATACTTCGACATTACTGATTGATTGAGACATTCATGGTTTGGTTCCACAAGTAATCAATCAATGGACTTTTCTTCTTTGTACATATATATGGTCACAATTGCTCTGACCCACCACTTTGTACAGATTTACCATTTCAGGAAAATAAGATAAAAACTTTTTTTTTGGCCACCAACAGTTTTATTAATGCAGAAACTGATGCAACTATATATTACATGATTCAAGATATAGTATAAGGTTTATTTTGATGCCTTGCCATCTTAGCTACACACTATCAACACTAGTTACAAATTCTCTAGAAACAGACATGAACTTATATCCATAACCCCTAGTTAATCTTACAATATCCTTAACAAGTACAAGGATAGAGGCATTAAAAGTTTGATTCAACTTCGAACCTCCATCTTCATAACGAAGAGCTGCATATAGCTCTTTGCAATCACCCACAAAAGGTTATATTAGGGTAATCAAGGGCTTTCAGACTTTGCACTGCGTACAACAAAGCAGTGGCTTCAGCTTGAACAACATTTAAGGTCGGATGAATCGCAGAACTTCCTTGGAGCAGATGAATGCCTTCTTTACTGTATAAGGACTATCCAAATCCTGCTCTTTGATCAGGAGACAACCACGATGCATCCACCAAACAACAAAATTGTGAGCTTCTACTTAACATATCATCCCATGATATAAGCTGCTGGTTTGTAGCTTTTTGAACCTCTTGTTGATTTTGAGGCTGGGCATTATGAGCTTCAATCCACAACTGCCGATCAACTATGGCATTGTTAATAATATGAATGATATGCTCTCTTTTATGATGAAACAGAAATGCATTAGTCATTTTCCAGATTCTCCACCCCAAGAAAAACATCAGGCTATCCTCAACACTTTGTTTAACCTGATTCATCCACAATTTGACAATTTGATATTTTGTATCAAATTATTCTGTTGTACCTCAGCTATATTTGGTGTATATGTAGAAGCC